TAGCAATGAAGCTGTGTAAAAGCATTCCTTCCTTTTTAAAAGGGCAGTTCTCTTAAACGGAATCCACCTCTTTGGGGCCACCACTGAAGCAGGCCCTGTAAATGAAATGCCCAACAGACGGCAGCATCTTCTGGAGCCCCCCTGCCCCTAAGCCCTCGCCCAGCTCATGGCTGTCCCTGTGGAGATCTGGGGCGGAGGAGCCATCGTGGTGACCAGGAGGAGGTTACCTTGCAGTGGGGAACTTGTCCCTTGGCCCTTCTGTCCGTCCGTCCGTCCGTCCTTCCGCCCTTCTGTCGGTCCGTCCGTCTGTCCGTCTGTCCTTCCCCAGGCAGCTCTTGGCTCCCTCTGCACCCAGGCTGAGGCCTCCCCGGTGCCACCGACTGTGCTGCGCTCGGAAGTCATATGCTGCTTTATAAGCCATTTTGCATACAATGGGGCCTTTATCGGCCCCCAAACAACACACTTTAGAATTCAAACCGGCTGCCTGGACTTCCGCCCACCCTTGCCAAACAAAGTGTCTGTGTGTGGCATTCCGGGCTGTTTGAACCCTCACCGACACCTGGCCCCAGGCAGCGCCAGGGGCAAAGACCCCCCCGCAGCAGTCCTCGTCCCCCACCGAGCCCCCAAAGGTGTAGGGCATGGGGGCCAAACGCCGTGGCATAGAGAGCCATGGAGCCCGTCGTTCTCTGCCCACTCCACAGGAAACACATGGCAGTGCCCGTGGGGAAGAGGGAGGGGAGGGGAGGAAGAGTCCAAGGCCGAATGCTGTTCCCCCACCCCACCCCCACCCCCAAAGGTCAGGGATCAGGAGCCTCAACGCAGGCCGGCTGCCTCAACCGTGACGCCGCTTGGCGTCAGTGGCACCATGTTTCTGTGAAAAGGGACGGCGGTTTGCGTCTCCTTCCGGGATGGAGGTTCAGTGCTGGAACCCAGTGCCAGGCCTGGCTGCGCACAAAGAGGCTCTCAGTTCCACTGCATCCTTCGTCATGCCCTCCCCGCACCCATCCCTATCCCCCACCCCACACACAAACACACCCCCACCTGCCCGGGTGGTGGATACAGTCAGACTCAGAGAGGAGAACCCCCTGCCCGAACCCAGCGGTCTTGAACCACCGGCCAGAGCTGACTGCTCTGGAACCCTCTCACAACGGTACTGACTGGTCCCGAGCGACCCCCCGGCTGCATCTCAAGTTCTGGGAAAGCCACCTGAACCTGGAAACCAGAGCCTTGGAGCTGCCCACTGAGCAGGAGGAGTGCCCCGGCCCCTCAAGGCAGGGGAGCCTTCCCCCCCACACACACACAACAGGAGTCCCTTCTCGGCTGCAACAAAAACCACAGAAGAATCCTGCGTGACCTGGAAAAGGTCACACTGGATGAGCCTCACTGAAGCTGAACCCTTTGTGAGTGAAGGCCTTTCAAAGGCAGACTAGGGGGAGAGCCATGGAAGCCGGGGGTGTGTGTGTGTCTTATTTTGGGGAGGGGAATGATTACCCCCAAAGCTCAAGGATCGCCATTCAGAACATGAACTTTTCAATGCCTCGGGGAGGGAGGCTGGCTCCCAGATTCAACAGGATGGAGCGCTTTGCTTCAACCAGAGCTGTTGCAGGTCCCAATCCACCCCTCCAAGGGAGAAAACTATTGGCTGGCCGTGGGGACGATGGGGTCAGAACACGACAGCCTCCCTGGGCAGTCGGAGGGTAACCATTAAGCTAGTTCAAATAGACCGAGAACAGGGCCCCCCCTTCTCCTGAGCTCAAAGGTCTCTCTCTCTCTCTGGGCCCCCTCTGTGGGGGAGGGGAGACCGGAAGTTGTTTTGTTTATGCACTCTTATAAGCTACTTTCTCATCCAAAAAAGCGCTTTCAAGTCCACACGCCAAAGGCAGAAAATGCCATTAAAGAATCATCATAAAAAGGCAGGCCACTAAAACTGTGCCCTTAGCGAACCAAGAACGTGTAAGCAACCCATCAGCAGATGACGACAGCAGCAGAATCTTGAAACCCACTCGGATTGTTAACCGACGCCAAAGGTCCAAGGATAAATGTGGCTTTTCGGCAGCTCGCCCAAAAAGGGCGCCGGGCACCCTAATGGGGTGAGAGACTTTCACAGCTTTGGTGCCCTAACCAGAAAGGCCACGCGGAGGATTTCCAGCTGCCACCTCTTGGGCGCCGCTGCCTCCAGGAGGGTGAATGTGCCAGTCCGTCCATGGCTCCCCAATGGCTAGGCAACCGTTCTCCTCTATACTGTAGCTTGCAGCCACGTTTGCTGGATTAATTGGCTTTCTGTGTTAATTTACTGTTGCTGCTGCGATCCCTGCTTTGAAGGAGGAGACGAGTCGTACAAGGGCTTTGTTTGCAGCTTGCTTTATCGGATGGTGGCTTTCAATCTGTTTTGAGCATCAGCCAGAGAACTATTGTTACAGCGTGACTGGCCGATGAATAAAACCAGGAACGCAGAACGAGCGGGCAGGTGTGGCGCAGAAAACCCAAGAAAGTAATCCAGAACAATAGGGTTCCCACCCCTGTCCGGGCCACCGTTTACTTAGTGGGAGAGGACTGAGATGGGCTGTGGTCAGCTTGCCACTTGGTGGGTCATTGATTAATGGTGACGGCAATGAGGTTTCGCCCGGGATGGAGAGGCAAAGGTTGTGGCAGAGGAACAAGAGCAGCCGGGGAGGGGCAGGGCTGGGAGCACACGGGGGAGCAGCCGGGGAGGGGCAGGGCTGGGAGCACATGGGGGAGACCATGAGCCGTAAGGAGTGGGGGGCTCAGTCTCAGCTCAGGCGCCACCCCACCCCCCGGGAACTGTGGGGCTGGACACAGGAGAAGGCACTGCAACTAGAGGCAGCTCATGAGACGCAGAGGCACAAACGTGGCATCTGTTTGCCACGGCAGCCACGGGGCTGAGGAAAAAGGGTTCCCCAAAGCCAGAGAGAGAAGACGCCTGAGGGTCGTCCACCTGTTGAAGATTTACTCTTCCCATCTTCTTCTCTATTCATACCAGAGCACAGTGCAATTCAAAATTATGGGTGTAAATGAAATATAGGTAAAATTAGAAACAAATTAAAATATTAAGATAATTAGACTATTTTTGACCAGACGTGGGCTACTTCAAGAGCGTTATCTCAGCCATTTGCTAGGTCTCCTTTTGTACACGTGGAGGGGCATAAATTTCATGCCCAAAAATGCTGCATTGATTAAATTATTCCGCAATCACAGAAAATTTGTCCTGCATCCCAGTAGCCCCATTTTACTGACTTGTTTTCTGATTTTCCTGCTTGGCTTCAAAGCCTGTTAAGTGACATACAGAGGGTCTTGTCCTGTGGGAGGCGCTCTTCAGCATTCATCCATTTGGTAAGGCATGCTGTTTTTCCTCTCCTAAGTTTAGTCTAGCCTCTTCTGGATTACTATTGAGAGTCTGAGGTGTGTGCAGAACTTTCCCCCCTCGATTTTAGCCATTCTCTAGGGGGTTAGAGTCCATAAAGTGGACAGGTCTGATGTTGTATTAGCTTATTTTGCCATTCTTTGCTAGCACCTCTCTGTGTACTTCTGGAGGGGCAATGGCAGCCAAATAATGGATTTTTTCAATAGGGGCGGGCTTCAGGCAGCTAGGAAGAATCCTGAATGATTCATGAAGCACTGTCTCCACATGTTTGGCATGTGCTGATTTGTACCATATGGCACTAGCATGTCGTGCTGTGGAGTGGCACAGGGACAAAGCCGTTGTTCTTATTGGTTGTGGTTGTGCACCCCAGACTATTCCCACCATGGTTGGGGTTCATGGGGGTTCGCAGAATTACAGAGTGGGAAGGGACCTCAAGGCTGGCTGAGTTCGATCCCTGGCTGAACAAAGAAACCGACTGGTGAAGCTTCCCTAACGACTAACGACTCTCAGTTTTCTGCTTAAAAGATCTCAAGGAAGGGGAGTCCGCCCCCATCTGAGGCCATCATCTGTTCCACTGGTGGTCAGGAGGTTTCCGTGAAGGAACTGGTGGTCTGCTTCTGAAGGCCAGCCATGTTCCAGCCCTGCGGTCAGTATTCGCACATGCCAGAAGCAACTCAGGGAGCAGAGTCCTCGTTAAGGCTGCGGAGAGGCTGAGCGTCGACTTCAGAGCCTCCGCTTTCAGGGGCCATGTTTAGTTCCGGGCGGCCCCAGGCTGGCCAGGAGCAAGATCCTGCACTGAAACCTTTCCCAGGTGAAGTCCAGTTCAGGTTTTGAAACTGTTTTGCCTACCAGCTGTTCCCCTCCATCTTTTTGAAGCAACGTGGCTGTTTAGCCCACTGGTTCTTAACCTTGGGTGCCAGCTGTTCCCCTCCATCTTTGTTTAGCCCATGGGGTCCCACCCAGCATCCTGCTTCCATAGTTCTGTAAAGATAGCATAAAGGGGAAGTGTGAGAGGGGGCCCCGCCACCTCCCAGCCATCTCCTGTGTTTTGTTTGCTGGGCTGATGACAAATCCTAAGAGATTTGCTCAAAAAAACCCAAAAACCTGAGATGCTCATATGCAAGACACCAACTTGAAGTCCTGAGTCTGGCCTCTGAAGTCTGTTAAGAGAGCGGCGCCCACAGCCCACAGCAGGATATGGATTTCCTCTGCAAACCTCAGATACCCTGCCCCCCCCCGCAGCACACCTGCCCACTTTCCCCCTCCCGGTCTGCACACTCACCTGTGGCAGTGGCAACAGGGATTCGGCCAGATGGACACACCAGGGAAGCCTTCCTCCAGGCAGTGGATGGAGTCAGCCGAGTCTTTTATACCCTGGACGGTCCCTCCCACTTTCCTCCCACTTCCCACCAGGAGAAGGGAGAAAGGACTTACCTAGTCAGGCCTTAGCTATTCCTGGCTGCTCACACCTCTCAAAGGGAGCAAGGCTCGCCCTGAAACAGGAGGACGGTTTCCCCCGTGCCTGTTGAGCCCACCGACGGGAGTGCAACTTGGTAAACAAGGCCACCACGAGCCGCTCGAGGCAGCCCCGGCCACCTCCAAAGCCTCCCGGGCTCTTGCAAAAAGCTGACTCTGAACTTTAAACATTAACCGGCGTCCTAGGACGCTCCATTCCAAGGTCCTTTGGCACAGGGCAAATGAAGCAGCTGATGGGGCAGCCCAAAGATCACAAAGGCCCCATGAGGCAAGGAAGCAGCAGCTACGCACCCGGAGCCACCCGCTAGGCGAACAGGGGGAGTCCTGTTGCCTCTCTCTCTCTCTGGGTGGGAGACTCTCCAGGAAGTGGGGGCTCTGCTGGAAGGAACTGGCATTGAGCGACCAGAGGTGGAGAGCAGGAACCCACCTCACCTGTTTGTGAGCCAGTCACCCTCGACAGGACTTGAACAGAGGTCTGGGGCATGAACATCCAGGGTGCATCCTGGCGCCTTTTGACTATGTAGCCTGCATAATCAAATTATAAACTGCCCAGCGAGTGCTTTAAGCACTATGAGGTGGTTTATAAGCAGCACACTTTGCTTTTTGGAAATCATTACCCCTTTGCTCCTGAGCAGGGGCAAAGTGTGTCCCTTCCTCCTCTCTTCTGGTTTTCAGTTAGCCTGGAAGGTCTTTAAAAAATAATCATCATAATAAAAATGGCTGGGGCACAAGGACCTGCTTTATCCTATGCCACTCTCCCATGGGGCACCACCTTAGAGGTGAAAGACTGGTGAGCCTCGTGGCGCAGGGGTTAAACTGCAGCACTGCAGCCTGAACTCTGCTCATGACCTAGGTTCAGTCCCAGCCATCTGACTCAAGGTTCACTCACCCTTCCATCCTTCCGAGGTCAGTAAACTGAGTACCCAGCTTGCAGGGGGGGGGGGACGCACACACAATATATAGCCTGCATAATTAAATTGTAAACTGCCCAGAGAGAGTTTTAAGTACTATGGGGTGCCATGTAAACAGCATGCTTTGCTTTAAAAGACTCTCTTCAAACCCCACAGGAGGAACCCGAGGCCTCAGAAATCGGTCCTCTTCCCCCTTATCTTATACCACACCAGTCACAAATTAATGGCACGGGGCTGCCTCTTGGATGTCCTGGGGAGACAGGCCTGGAAAAGCAGCTGGTGGCATTTGTTGGGGGGGGAACGAAGGGGGGTTCATCCCTCTCTCCCTCCGGAGCAGCTGAGAGGCATTTGCCCAAAATGGACCTGGGGGGTGCAACGGCCAGGGTTGCCTCTTGCAGAAGGATCAACCCGAGTCTTGTGCCACCTGGAAAATGGCCAAGTTTAATTTGGCGGTGGGTGCTCCCTCACAGCACACCCCTCTCTCTCAGGCCCTCACTCGCCCTGCTGGAAGGATCGGGTTTCGGAGACGGCGGGGGTTACTTCGGCCCCACCCTCCCTGCCCCGGAAAGGTGAGGCAGACTGGGGCAGGTGCCAAGAAGACAACCTATCGCGTGGGTCACCGGCACAGCTCGCCCTGTGCCCACAGAGGAACTGGGAGAAAGTTTAAGGGCCACCCAACCCACAGAACAGCCCTGACGGAAAAGCGGGCGCAGTTCTCCGAAGATCAGGTTAGATCTGATCTTAAATTGACAACAAAGCCCACCATCCCCAGCCAAGGGGGACTGCCAGCTTAGGGAATTGCCGAGCGGGAGAGTTATCCAGAACTGCTTTAGAACTTGATCCACATAAGAAAAGAAGGTCTTCCCTAAACTCTGTGTTCTCCCAGTACCATTGCTTCGCAGCAGCAGCACCCCCCCCCTCGGGAAAGGAGGGTTTGGCCCAACCCACTCCAAATGGCGTTACACGCTAGAGGTAAAGAAGCACATCACAAACACACTGGCAGTTTAATTAGGCATCATATGTGACCGTACAGCTTTATTTTATTGCTGGTTCTCAACACTGCATTCATATGTTGATATTTTAATATCTCAATTCTGTTTCTACTGTTCCACTTTTTAAAAAAAGTCATTTTATTGACTCCCCCTGTTTTTATCATTGTAAATCACCCTGTGGGCATTGCCACTTTGCTAGTATATGAAGCGTACGAACAACACTACAGCCATGCATGCAGCAGTACAGGCATCGCCACCTTTTCGAACTGAGGGAGGGCGTCTGGGAAGCCCCCAGCTGTAGGGGTCCTATGGAAAGAAAGGGGGACCCAACTATTGATGCCCCCCTTAGTCTGCCCTGAGTCATGTTTTCCATCTCTTTCCCCAGACACTGACAGCAAAGCTCCCTGTCTTGAGATTTTCTGGTTTTTAAAAGGTTTTCCCTTTTTAAAAAATCAGTGTTATGCTGGCTATATTTTAATCTGCCGATAAAGAAGCCAATTGTAACAGCACGTTACACATTTCCCTTAGAACATCAACCCATGAGCTTCATTAAAAGCCCTTGGATTTCTGCCACCCGGATAAAGCCACTTGTTAACTGTTAACGAAAGCCTTTGCCTTACTGAGCGTGTCATCTCTTCCTGTCGCTTCTGTTGGGGTGTGTGCACGGGATGGGAAAACAGACGCAGGTGGTCTGCCCTCATACCTTTTGTGGTGGAGAATGACAGCAGAAGGAAAGGATCCAGCTTCCTGGCCATCCTGGGCAGTCCTTTCACACCTTTGTGGATTCACCGTGGGGGGGGGGGCTCCCTCCATCCCTGGCTTCCTGCTTCCTGTGGCTTCAATTAAACTTTTCTTGTTTGTTCTAAAGATTTTTATACTGTCTGCTCCCAGAGCCTAGGCACTCACTGACCATGCGGGCAGGATGATTCTGAGAAGAGTAATTAAACATATAAAATTTCCAGCCTCTGGGCAAAGTTCTCAAGTGTAAAACAACCCCCCCCCTCCAAATGGCTTGTTTCTATAGCTCCCCTGAATCTCTTGATCAAGCAGGCTCCCTGCCTGTTTGGCTCTTTCCTCTTCTATGGAATCTACTCTATTGGAACATCTAGATCACCTGTTTTGAATAGTCTTCTTCAATATACACAGTCTAGTGGGCAGGGCTCACTCCTTGTGATTACTCAGATGCAAGGAAAACGTGCTCTTACTCAGAGGCAATGAATCATTTAATCATGCTGCAAGTTTCTAGGGAATTCAGTTTTGCACACACCCATCAAATTACATATTAAGAGAAATGTATTTTTTCCTGTTGTTACCTTTTCTCCTCCAGACACACAATCCCTTTGAAACGCCACCCTTGAGGGACTAGACCTGCAAACGAGCCCTGTGTTTACTCGCTGATAGCAAATCTCAAAACAACAGCGAGGTAACTGGCAACATGCTGAGTGAGGCCAGCTTGTGCCAAGACAAACAGATACCTTTTGCTTCTTAAGACAGCACCGCTTCTAAAAACATGCTGTTTTGGCCAGTCTGGCACAGTTTGCGATGGGGCTTTTTCTCCCAGGCAAAGCAAAACACAAGGCTTCTCATGCTACAAATTCCACCATGATGAAGAGGAAGAAGAGTTTATGCCCTTACGAGCCACTCTGGAGAACCTGCAAAAGGGTGGCCCATCTCAATGATTCATAAATAAGTGAATGGATAAGCAACTCGTGAACATTAATTCCCGGGAATAGAAGCAGGGTAGAGTGTGTAGGCACAGGGGAGCCCCACAACTGTCGCTGTTTGTTTACTATTTGAGCTTACCTGGGCTTAGAGCTACCTGGAAAGGGTGTCATTTTTAGTGCCAAGGTGAGCTGTAAAGGATCCTAATAAGCAGGCGAAGCTGGAGTCAACAGCGGCCAGTACCCCCACCAGAATCACCTTGAGTCTGCCCGTGAAACAGACTTTGACAGGGAGGCCCCCAATTCGTTTTTCTGTCCTTCCTAGAGGAGCCCCCCCCCCGGAAGCCCTGAGACCAAGCCTTGACAGACCAAGCCGGTTCAGCAGCTCCTCTCCTTTTGGTGGGCAGGCGGGGGAGGGGGCAGGACTTGGCCAAGCCCTCTGCTGACCGTCGGGGTGACCCTGGAGGCCGGATCCCCGGCGGAGGCCAGCCTGGCTTCCTTGGCCGGCCCTGCGGCGCACCTGAGCACCCTACCCAATACGTTACACTGACTCTCATACCATTACCTGCTTTTTTTAAAATCATAAAAGGCATTTAAAGAATGGGAGATGTAAACTAGAATGTTCCTTCAATGCCACCACTCATCTTTTTTCATGCAAATTGCAGTGGTGTCATTAATAAACTAGAAGAGGAAATGTGTTCATGTGTTCTTACATTTCTGCCTGCCTCTGAATGAGCAGATGTAGGCAGGGGGGAGTGGGGTTGAAATCCGGTGCTCTGTTGCAAGGGGAGAACCGCCTCCCTCACCCTTGGCTCCCCGCAGGACCCGCCCGATGCGCCTTGCCCGCTCCCTGCCTCCCTTTTAGGCCAGGAGAATAATCGCAATCGTTTTTGGACTGAAAAGCAGACCCGACGGATCCTCCAGTCCGGCCCCTGTCGAGGAGGCACCCTGGGAGGTGGGGAATCGAACTCCCAACCTCTGGCTCCACAGCCGGAGACCTGAACCGCTGAGCTCTCCAGCAGTTCTCCAGGGAAGGAGGTCACTGGCGCTGTGGCAATGCCAGAAGCGTTTGTTCTCACCTTTTA